AAAAGCTGCTAGCCAACTGCTAGTTTTCATTGCAAGAGTAGATCTGTGAAACCCACAATGTTTAACTCAGTGCTAGTGGAATAAACCGTTAAACTGGGGTAGTTTTATGGTGGTCATAAAAATAGTAATTGTTGTCACCATTTCAAGTTTATTTTTGAATCTGATAAAGTAAAAACTCACAATGGAAAAGAAGAGGCAGACATAGTTGCTGAGTAAGGTCTTGAAGCCCCAGCATGACTGATTCTGTCAGTAGTGTGACCTATGCAGTGTGCCAGTTTCAAACACAAACAGCTGTTAAGGTTGTTGATTGAATATACAAATGTGTACCAGGGACAGCATCCAACTTTTTGCTGTGTTGAGGCTTGGCCAAGCCTAAAGCTTTCTGTAACTTTAGCAGAGCACATTTCTGTCCTCTGCTTGCCAGATCTAAGAAAGTAGGTATTTTGGAAGACTAGGTCTTGAATTTAGGAGTACCACCTTAATCACATTCTGAATGATTTTAAGAAAACCTTTGAGGCTTAAGTAATACATTAGGAAACATTTTTACTGGCATGCCTGCTATCTCTTTTTGTCTGTTTGTTTCAAATACAGTTGTGGGAAAAAAATTATTTTCCCTTTAAAACAAGAAAGGGAGATGAACAAGGAGAGAATTACGGAAAGCCAAGAATGGGAGATGATGTGAAAATAAATGAGTAAATTCTAGACAATGAAAAAAAGAAGGCAAAGAATTGGAGGAAAAAAAGAAGTAATAGGAAAGGAAAGGAAAGGAAAGGAAAGGAAAGGAAAGGAAAGGAAAGGAAAGGAAAGGAAAGGAAAGGAAAGGAAAGGAAAGGAAAGGAAAGGAAAGGAAAGGAAAGGAAAGGAAAGGAAAGGAAAGGAAAGGAAAGGAAAGGAAAGGAAAGGAAAGGAAAGGAAAGGAAAGGAAAGGAAAGGAAAGGAAAGGATTTTTAGAATCCTTTTTTTAAAAAAAAAAAAAAAAAAGAAAGGAGCAACACACAGATATAAACACAAGGTAGAAAGTTCTCCAGGGTCGGGCAGCAGCGCAGGACTCACGCTTAGTCCAGGTCGTTGGTTGTGTCTTTATCTGTGAGACTCTGTCTGTTGATGGCCGGTAAATCGTATTGGCCTTGGGATAAATCCTCAAAATCTTGGCTCATGGTGGGAGAGATGGTGTCAGGGCTGGTGTCGCAGGACTCAGTGCTCTGCTCACAGGTAGCGATGGAGGTTGTTGTGCTTTTTGGGATGGGGTCGAAGTCGTCGTCATCTTCTAGGATGGGAGATCCTGCTGATTTTTAGAAAGAAAAAGTACAAATGCTGTGTCTTTAGTAGCTAGCAGGTGCTTCTCAGATGACACCTGGTGGACAAATAAAGAGATGGACGCAGCCTGCCTTGACAGTGCAGAACTGTACTTTTTTTTTCCTGCTCACATCTGCACATACTGCTGGTATACCTATCAGGTGCCCTCCCTCCTCTGCTTATCCCCACCCAGAGTGCATTATTACAGCGGTCCAGAATAAGCACGTATCATCCATCAATCTGTAATAGGTTTTTTTTTGCACTTGCTTCTTTTTTTTTTTTTTCCATATACTGGCTGATGCCATGAGTTGGTTTAATTCTGACCTGTGAGTCTGAGACTAGAGTGGAGACATTGTTTTCAGAAATAAAAATACAAAGAAAGCCTATGTTGTTAGCAGCAGCTGGGTGCTTTTATACACTAGGATACCTAGACAATATTATGAATGCCTTCACAAGTGGAGAGTTGTACCCATAGGGTTAAAGGCTTTGATTTCTCCTGATCATTAATTTACTCTTTCACTTTTAAAGTACTTCCAGTTTGCCTCTCTAGCAGTGGCTGTCTTTTCTGCTTGACGCTTTACAACTGCCCTGATGCATTCTTGTTGACAACCCAGAGATAAGGCATCGATAAAAAGAAAAGCACTCTAAGTCCACCTGGAGAGAAACATCTACTTAGGGAAGTCTTTCTTCTGGGGATTTGCATCCAGTGAGTGGATGCTTATGCCTCCTGGTAAGACAGGGGGTTTCCTCAGGGATCTCATGGATGTGAATACAACATTACTGTGCAGTCCTTTTT